GATGAGCATGTGTTTTGCTGTCTGTCATGTAAATAACACGTGGACTGTGCTAATGCATCTCTCATATCATCCTGAGTTTGTTGTTTCTAAAGCAGAAACACTGAAGATACTGGTAATTAACCAAAATGACAACCATATTCCGCACACCATCAGAAAGTTCATTGTAGAAAATCTGGAATCACTGTGTGAAACACAAAAAACACTGGAGTTTTCTCTGAGTACTGCCAACACATTTTCCAGTGCAGATGTTTATCAGACCCTGACAACCAAAATCTTAGCTGAACTGAGCACAAAAGCTACAGGAGAAACATACAACAAGAAAACCCAGCTGTTTCTAGAAATCTTTTGGACCCCGGGAAACCTAGAAAACACTACAAGTGTTTAAAATATTTAACAGAACTCTTGGCACAGAAATGGGAGAGTATAGTAGCCCATAATTTGAATCCTGAAGCATTAGGTGCCACAGAATCTTTTTGGAGTATCATCCAGGTGAATTGTGCTGCAGACAGTGACAGTTATGCTAGAGTTTCTCAATAATTTGCCACTAAAGATGGAATTTCACATTTCAAAGGAGAATTTACTACTTACATGAACTATGAAATTTGATGCACTGGCTTTTTGGAACAGTCATCCAAACACACTTCCCAACTTCAGTAGAGTGGTATGGCAGGCTTTGAGTGCACTCCCTGATATTATTGATGCAGAACACTTATTTATACTGCCTCCAAATCAGCAAGAGGCTCAACGTGAGTGAGAATACTTCAAAGAAAATTAAGTGAATGTACACAAACCAGGATTTCTTGAAAAACTATTCTCTGAGAGAGGAAAAAAAATACATTCATATCCGGCTTTGATTTTCAGAAAATAAACACTTAATAGGTTTTTGTAACTTTTTACAATAAAAGCTGAAAATGTAGAACACTAGACATAAATACTTCACCTTGAAATTTATTATTAATTCATTTCTCTGAATGCCTAAAAGAACCACTGTAGGAACTTAAAAATTGTACTCAAGCAACGTTCGATTGTAAAATAGTTACACAGTATATGATATCTCCACATACTTTTTCTTTAAGATATTTGTGGTCAGTTTAGCCTTCCCTCTTCTGTATTCATTCAGTGTTGTTGCTGTATAATCTAGTGTGTTACATGCACATGTAATACATGATAAATTCTAAGGGAATTAATTGGAAGCAGAATAACTGTAAAGAATGTTTATTACACATTTTTAAAGTATGTGATTTGAAAGTGTTAAAATTAACTTACGGTATGAGGTATCGGTGGCTTAAGGCATATTTTTACATTTCCTTGATTGAATATGAATCTTTTTATTTAGTAGGCTCTGCATTCTCAGATGAAAAAAGTCCAAGTATGTTGGGTGATGGGGGATACTCACTCCTCATGAGTGCCTCCTAGTAGTTGGGTGTGTTTTGTTTGGGTTTTTAATCCACTCCTTCACTTGATCTTCTAAACAACTCTTGTTCCCTTCTCAGGGCTTAGGCCTTATTCTTAGTGATGGCACCTGGTTCTGCATACTACAGTAAAACTCCAATTGTCCGGCACCCTGTGGTCCAGCACTCCCTATAGTCCGGCACCAACTGGAACCCGGAAGTGCTCCGGCCAGCTGGACAATTGGAGCTGCTGTGAGCCCCATGGGCGCTCACGGCTGGGAAAGGGAAGGGGAGAAGAAGGGGAGGAGATTATATCCCTGTGACGGGTCTGCCGGGACCTGCACTGCGTCTGGGGGGGGGGGGATGGGGGGGGGAGGGG